TACAAGTCTTTTTTCTCCACACCTTTGCCAATACTTACTGTTTCGGGTCTTTTTTATACGGGCCATTATCACAGGTATGAGATTTTATCCATGTGGCTTTGATTTGCATTTCCCTGATGACCAGTGATAATGAGCATTTTTTTTTTTTAAGTGCTTGTTGGGCATTCATATATTTTCTTTGGAGAAGTGCCTGTTGAGCCCATCTACCAGTTTCTTGATGGGGTTATTTGTTTTCTTATTGAGTTGTATTAATTATTTGTAGATTTTGGACATAGTTCCTTGTCAGATGTATGGTGTTTTTTCCCTTTTTGTACAGCATTTTCATTATAGTTTCTTTTGCTGTACAGAAGCATTTCAACTTGACAAAGTCTTGTTCATTTATCTTTGCTTTTGTTTCTCTTTTAGTTGAATCCCCAAAACAAATATCACGTTGTTAAATACAACTCTTACCTGTGGAGTGGAGGAAAGATAAAGGGAGTTGGATGAAAATGTGCGCCAGATGAATTGTTTAGGTGACTAATGGTGTCCCGGATATGAGCTGTGACAGCAGGAATGGAGAGAGGAAATGGATTGAAAGAGATGCAAGTAAGTTCTACTGTGGGAGAGACTGTGGTGGGAAGAAAATGAAAATAAGTTTCTTGAGATATGGGAGACATTGGAGTAGAAGTAGTTTGGGTGGTGTGGGGTACAGAAAATGAGTTGACCTCTTAAGGCTACAAAGGAAAGGTTATGCTACAAAGGGTCTGGAATGGTCCTGAGTTGCAGATATGGGATTGAAAGTACTGCATTTGCATGTGCCCAATGGCCTCTGGGAGGTGGAGTGTGGGGGTTGGGGCTAGATAATATCAGGAAGCAGGTGATCCTATGACATGTCCATGTCCTAATACCTGGACTCTTTGAATGTGACCTTATTTGGAAAAAGGGAACTCGCAACTATAATTAAGGATTATCAATGCGAACATCCTGAGTATACTTGAATGAGCCCTAAATCCAATGACGAGTACCCTTAGAAGAGGTGGAAGAGAAGATGTGTACATAGATGACTATATGCAGACAGAGACAGGTCGGAGTGATGCAACCACAAGCCAAGGAGCACCAGGAGCCAACAGGAGCTGCAAAAGGCAAGGAAAGAACTTCCCCTGGAACCTCTGGAGGATGCACAACTTGATTTTGAACATTTGGCCTCCATAACTGTGAGGGAACAGCTTCTGTAGTTCTAACATTCCCAGTTTGTGGTAATTTGTTATGGTGACCCTAAGAAATGATTATATCAGGGCCCTAGGATGGAGTCTGAAGCTGCCTTATGCTTAGGGCTGTGTAGGGAAAGTCAGGCCACAGAGGAGACTGAGGTCAGATATGACATCTTCTGGATAGGCAAGTAGAAGCACAGGAATGATGCATGAATGAGTGAGTGGGTGAATCAATGAATGGGTGCCTCAGAAAAAGCAGGGCCACAAGAGACCAAGGAGACTTGACCCTTAGCAAGTCCTGTCCCCTCTCAGGACCTCATGTTCCTAGGAGGGAATCTGACCAGTCATGGGATCTTCTGGGTCTCTGAGGCCAGGGAGAGGCCTTACTTTGGCTACTGTTGTGTTAAGGAGATACCCTTCTCTTCATGTAGTTTCACCACATTTTAATTTAGCCTAGTGTTTTTTTGGTAGAGATTGGGAATAAGATGGTGGACAAAAACAGTTTACATACAACCAAAATTCCCAGGGCAGTGGGAAACAGACATTAATAACTCAACTGTATCAGCTGTTGATGTGCAAATATTGTCTATATCAACTATTTGTAACCTGTTACAAAGCATTTATAGAAAGGGAAGGGAGGAAAATCCCTCTGAGAGGCTTTGGAAGTATTTAATTTGGGGAAGAGGGAAAACTTTCTAGACAGAAATAACAGTTTGTATGAAGGTTTAGGAGTGGGGTGTGGGGAGAATTACCAGTTGGACAGGAAAAAGATCATGGTGGTAAGACAAATCAGAGGTCAACAACCCACGTTGACTCTTATAGACCACTTGTCAGGATTTTTCCTAAGAACAATGCAGTTCACTAAGGTAAGAGTGATGTGTTTAGATCTGCCTTTTGAGAAGACCAATGCTTAGTGTGGAGTGTGAGATGGGAGAGAACAAGATTGGGATGGGGGCAGTCAAACAGGAAACTTTCATTTGTGTTCAAGTATCAAAGAGGAATGAGAAAGATGGATGGATTAGAGAGCTAGTTAGGTAATAGAATTGAAGGGGTGGGGGATAAGGATGGAAAGGGTCTGGGAGTGAGGCAGAGAGTGCTAAGTGTGACCCCTGGGGGTGCTAAGTGTGACCCTTGCTTAGGTAACTGAAGGGAGGTGGTTCCTTTAGTGAGTCCAGGGATATGGGAGCTGTGGCGTGGGGGATGTAAGAGGACATTAAGTAAGGAGGGGACGCATTATAGTTGAGGTGTCAGTGGAGCTGTAGACTGAGTTTAGCACTCAGGTGTCAGAGCAAGGAAAGCGAAACCTGAGTTATTTGTGCACAGGTAGACATCACAGAGGAAAGTACAACATTGAGGATGAGCTTTGAGGAATCCCCAACTACGCTGAGTAATGGGGGGGCGGGGAATGGGGTTCTTGACAGGGTGAAGAGAAACCTGGGGAGGGGTGGCCAGAGAAGATGGTGGAAATGCTCTAGGGAGGCAGTGGTCAAATGGTGCTGGGGTGTCAACTGCTGAGGTTTGACAGTCAATGTCTCACTGTGGGGTTCTGGGGCTTCCGCAGATGGGGACAGAGAGTGGCTATTAGATGCAGACACTTGGAGGTTAAAGAGAGTTTGGCGAGGCCTAATTTGGTATTGTGAGCCAGAAGGCCCACTGCAGGGGTCTGATGGGAGGCAGGGAGGTGCAGATAGGTGTTTCTAGGAATGTTGCTGTTTTCCAGGAAAGTGACATGGCAGTTATTGGTGGGGTCCATTGAAATTTTATTTTCATAGTGGATGTATATACATAATTATAGGTCAAGGGAAGGATCTGTTGAGAGGGGACAATTGAACATTTAGAAGAGGGAAAGGATTTTCCATAGGTCAATTTCCTGAAAGTAGCGGGTAGGGGGATCTGGGCAGACAGGGAGGGTTCTATGGCATTAACAGGCTGTAGCAGATGCAGCACAGTTTGTTTGGTTTTAGTTTAGCTTTGGTGGATGGTTGATGCAGTCCATAACAGTGACTTGTTCTGGGTTTTGTGTTATGTGTATTTCTCTCTCTCTCTCTCTCTGTGTGCGTGTGTGTGTGTGTGTGTGTGTGTGTGAGTGAACGTGCTATGCCTCCCCCAGGTCTGGGCTGCCATCCCGGACAGTGTGCTGTACAGAATTATCTGCACAGCGTCTGGGCAGAGGCCGAACCCCTCCCACTCGGGCTAGCTCCCTGATGAGATTCTCAGACCTTGTTTCCCCTCATTTATGATCAGGAGGTTCATAGAACAGGCGTGGGAACCTGCTCCCCTGCCAGGGCCTCTGTCAGCCCAGGCTGAGGTCAGCTGCATGCCTGCCTTGTGCCTTCCCATCCTGGCTGAGTGAAACTGAATGAGATGTTTCTGTCCACTGCTTAGGTCCGGTGTTGTACAGGGAACACAGGTTGGACTAAATAGCCTGGCACCGCCACTCCACCTCTGGGTTCCCTCCCTAGACCCCAACCCAGCGCCTTCCCCGCTTCCCTGCTGGTGCCCTCCCGATAACCTCACCCAATCTCTGAAGGGGTCCCTTCTCATTAACCCAGCACCTACAAATCACCAAGAGTGCCTGACTCAAGCTGTGGGCAGACTGAATTCTTTTGGGAGTTTGGTCCTGGGGGTGAACTCCTTGCTCCTAATCTTCCGGGCCTTCTCCACTGGTCTATCCCCTTCTCTGATACCCTAGCTCCCCGGTCCCGGAGACCTCAGCCTCCAGTAATCAGACAGTTGGGATACTGGGGAGGGAGCAGTGTGCCCTGCAGGACTGCCCAGGAAACGAGCTCGAGCTGAGGTCAGAGAAGTTCACCAGCATCCTGGGATGCTCCCCCTCTCCCAGCCCTGGCACCGGCGCCGGATGGGGGGGTCCGCCCTTTTCCAGCCGCCAGCAGGGAGCAGGGAAGGCGGAGTCCCACAGGTGGGAGCGGAGCTTGGGGGAGGCGGGCGCGGCCGCGTACGTGCGGCGGCCGGCGGGCGGC